CCTTCTGGAAATACTTGTTTCTTCTTCTTAGATTTTTCTTTTATGCTTTTATTTTAGAAATTATAATATTGTAATATTAATATCGGATCGGGTTTTCATAAGTTTTTTATTTTATAATTGCTTTCAATTTCACAGGTAAGATGTTTTCGTGTGCAAAAGTGAATTAATATGAAAGATTTAATTACTTTAATTTTGACAAAGCCTATTGGCATTGTATTAATCATGGTTTAGTTAAACTAATCCATATCCACATATTATTACTTTGATTTGATTTACTTATCACTGTGCTTGTTGTTAATATGAAAAATTGTTATTACACTTTTTTAATTTTTATACATTGGTATTAGTTTGGTTTTTATTTGGCCTTTCATAACTCTATTGAATCATTCCCAAAATAAACATCTATTCACAGTTTGAATAAAGACAAAGAAAGATGCCAAACATTGAAATTTATAAGTTGGAAATTATAATTCATGTAACTATCCTAAAAACTTTGAAATCTATAATACTTTGACTGTGCTAGATGAATGTAGAAGACTTTAATGATGAGAATGACCCAAGTTGACTTGCTATAAAGAGAAAAAAATTATCTTGAAAAACTTATAATACACTTCACACGTTGTTCCTACTTCGTTATTATCCATTACTTAAAATATATTAATTTATAAATATATTGAAAGTGAAGATTCGTCAAAAAAATATGTGTAGTTTTGAGGACTTGTTGAAATTAAAAGTCTGGTGCAAAACAAAACATGGACCCAGTGGTTACAGATTTGAAGAAAAGAAATCGTATGCTTTTGAAATTGTTTCAATCAAAACACAAAAACGTATTAATATTGCTAGTTACCCATCATCATCATGTCCACAAAACTAACAATTCCACGCAATTCGAAACACATATATTGATTTAATGACATTTGTGAAAGTATATTAAAACTTTTGAACAACTTCAATTAGTCTACTGCAATGTTAAAAATAATTTATCAGTTCCACCTCAATTAGTTAATTTAGAATATATACAGAGATGAAAACTTTATTTTATAAACTAATTTTATAGATTTGAGCTAGATTTAAAAAGTTATGAGTTAATATTTTATGTTTGTTTTTTTCGTATAGTCAACATAGTTGTTCTCCCAAAATGTGTATCTTTTTTCAATTCTACCATCTTTATAAACTTTTAAGACTTTCTTTGAAAGGATTTTTTTTATAAGTTTTCATAAGTTTTTTTTGAAATGTATATCTTTTATCTTTTTATGAGAATTATCTTCTATTTTGTAAGATTTCAAAAATATTTTTATTGTGTTAGATTTATAGGCAAATTCAAACATTTATAAAATTTAACTTAAAATTTAACCTAAAGGAGTTAAACATTTTTTTACAGTTGGTTAAGAGAAAATTGAACGTAGTTTAGATAAGTAAATCAGTATAAAATCAAAATGTATTTTTCTGTCTTTGTGTTGAAATAACTTTTTCTAAACCAAAGTGTTTAATTACTATTAGATATAGTTTAATCCCTCCAAAATAATATTAAACATTATTTAGGAAAAGTTTTTAAAAACACTATTTAACCTCCTTTCCCATGTTTTTTGTGTTTAAATAAGATTGTCTAAGTAATTAACTAATATAATTAATTTTAAATACTAAACGTAAACTATTTTTTTTACTCTAGTATTGCTATGACTTTAAGTCATAGACTGGGCAATAGGATGATACAATTAATATTTCAATATTGACTATAAGCTAAGTAGTCGTTTCCACCAAGTGTTAAGCGCATCTCTTAGACCAAACATTAAATATAAACAGGACAAAAGATTATAAATTTAGTGATGTGCTTGAAAACAATTCAACACGACAAACCTCATTGGTCATTGTTTAAGATGTGCTTGAAAACTTGCATGGTTAGTGATATTGAAAAAAATTTATTGCAAGAAAAGTACATTTAAACGCAAAATATTTTGTATCAGTGTCATTGGAACACGTGTTTGACATTTGCATTAAAAAGATAAAATGAACATCATACGATGCATGCGTCTGAGAATGCCCTCGCCGTTCCTTCTATGAAATTTTCAGAAACAATTATTTTAATAACTTTTTTTACATATAGTGATTTATGATTGATTTGTTTTAAATATTTTTTTAAAAATAAATTTAAATAAGTTAATAAAATAATAATACATGATTTATTGTCAAAAATCATTATAAAAAGTTATTAACATATTATAGTTCAGAAGTATTAAAATATATATAATATAAAGAAAGAGAAACTATTTTTTTTAACTTTTAAGTTCTTAAGCGAACCAATTAATGAAAGGTAGGGTCATGAAGACCACATACACAAAAGAGGAATGTCACTACATTATTTACTAAGACATCATCTAAATATTAAAAAATCTGAAATAAGTGGAGCTTATATGATGTCGTAGCTCAAAATCATTTCGAATAATTTACATGAAATAGATTAATAGTAAACGATAGGTTTAAACCCTTCGTTGGTCCTCAAGTTTGTATGAAAATCTCAGTTGGGTCCTCAAGTTTTTTTCTGTCTCAATTGGGTCATATTTTTTGTAAAAGTGATCACATTTTGCCATAACCGTTAAGTGTTGTGAAACGGCGTTAAAATGGTGTGAGGTGGAGCACAGAGAATGTGGTGACGTGTTTAGGGTTTAGTACGTGGAGTGTTTTGTTTAAAATAATAGTGGTGATGTGGCAACCCTTTATTCATATTAGGTATATCAGAATTAGGGATTTGAAAATTGGAATTGGGGATTTAATTTGGTTGTTGCGAGACGAAGCGGAGGACGAAGAAGAACTCCAATCTTGAACAAGACGAAGAGGGCAGCTAATAGTTGAGGCGACTAAGGTAAGATACCTCGTTTCGTCTTTGGTTTTGTGTTTCAGTGCATGTGATTTGTGGTCTTCGACAATTGGGTTTTTGTCTTGGTCTGTATGTATTTTTATAATGCTTTGTGGTCCCCATTTTGCATGTTCAATTGTTACATTGTTTATCAGTTGTAGTGGTCCCAAATTTTGTTTCTTGAATTGTTTTTCAGTTGTAGTGGTCCCCGTGTCTATGAGTGTTTCGTTAGTGGGGATGTTACTTTGTTCCCTGTCCCCCTGTCTTTGTCGGTGTGAGTGTTTAGTTAGTGAGTGAGTGTTTAGTTAGTGAGTGAGTGTTTCCGTAGTTGTAGCAGTGTAATATTCGAAACACTTGTTAACCCCCATAATGTACAGGTTATAAAAGGAAGTTGTTGATATGGATGAGGAACGTATTAAGGTGGTGGTCCACCATTCTGGAAATTTTGTGAGTGATGATAATGGGAACTTAAGCTTTGAAGGAGAGAGAGCAGAATGGTCTTGTGATCCAGACTTGTTTAGCTATTTTGGCATAGTAGCGTCAGTCAAAGATTTAGGTCATATGGACATCAAAGAGTTATGGTACGGTTTAGGAGGTCAGTCTGTGCACCCAGATAGGTTAGAATTATTAACTGATGATAGGGGTGCCATGCACATGTTGAACATTGCTAGGTTAAATGATGAAGTTCATCTGTATGTGGTTCATAATATGATGGAACCAGAAATAATAGAAATGATTGATTGGGTTGGTGGTCAAGTTAATGATGAAGGTGATGTTGCAAGACAAGTGGAGGAGGTTGAGGTTGTTCGTGATGTTCAACTTGGAACAGAAATGGTGGAGGGTGAGGGGGATACCCATGAGGGTGAGGTCCATACTGAAGTTGAAACAGAAATGGTGGAGGGTGAGGGGGATACCCATGTGGGTGATGTTGAGGTCCATACTGAAGTTGGAAGAGAAATGGTGGAGGGTGAGGGGGATGCCCAGGAGGGTGATGGTCTGGATCATACTGCAGTAGGAAGAAAAATGGTTGAGGGTGAGGATGATGCCCATGAGGGTGAAGGTGATGGGTATGAGGGTGATGGTGAGGATCATAGTGATGTTGGTAAAAAAATGGTTGAGGGTGATGGTGAGGATCATAGTGATGCCCATGAGGGTGAAGGTGATGGGTATGAGGGTGAAGGTGAGGATCATAGTGATGCCTATGAGGGTGATGGTGAGGATGTTGAGATCCATCATGAGGAGGAAGCTGAGGTACATGATGTAGATGATTTTGAGCTAGAGGATTATGAAGAGGATGATGATGTAGAAGACAGTGAGGGTGATGCACATCAGGCAGAGTCTGAGGACGAAGATGTAGATAGAAGTGAAGGAAGTCTAATTGATGTCAGCGTGCATTGTGACATTGGGACTTCTAAAGGAAATGTGGGAGAACAAGCTTCCAGTGCCTTACTTGAGTCTGAACGGTCAACAGATAATGAATTTATTCATGATATGTGTGGGTTGTCTGACAATGAGTGGTTATCAGAGGAGTTGTTGAGTGGATCAGATAGTGAGGACAATCATGTGAGGACTAAGATAAGGTTTCCCACTTTTAGTATGCCTAAAACTTTGGTGGATTATAAATGGGAAGTAGGAACCTATTTTCCTGAGAAAAATGAATTCACAGATGCCATAAGGACTTATGCACTAAGTAATGGGAGAAGTTTAAAATTTATTAAGAATGACAAGAAAAGGATTTCTGTCAAGTGCTTGGGTGGAAGAGGAAATTGTAAATGGTATGCGTATTGTTCCTTTAGGACTGATATCAGTGCATGGCAACTGAGAAAAGTGTTTGATAACCACAACTGTAGTAGAGATTTCAATGTTAAGTTGATCACTTCAAAGTGGTTGAGTGAAAGGATGGAGAAAACTGTGAGAGAAAATCCTACAATGAAGGTCATGGACATTAGGGACAAAGTTACTAGGAAATGGAATGTAGGAATTTCAAGAAATATGGCGTTTAGGGCAAGAGCAATGGCAAGAGATAAGGTTGAAGGATCATTCAAAGATCAATATAGAAGACTTCGCGATTATGGTCATGAGCTGCTGAAAACAAATCCAGGAACAACAGTAAAAATCAAAGTTGATAACAGTGATGGTGAGGTCATATTCCAAAGATTTTATGCATGCTTGAAGGCATGCAAGGATAGCTTCATTTGTTGTAGACCTATTATTGGCTTGGATGGATGCTTTCTGAAAACCAAATATGGAGGGGAGTTACTAACAGCAGTGGGAAGAGATGGAAACGACCAAATGATGCCCATAGCATATGCTATTGTTGAGGTAGAAAACAAAGACTCCTGGACTTGGTTCTTGGAGCTCCTTATTGAGGACCTTGGTGGGGCAGCTGTATGTGCAGGATGCACATTTATTTCAGACCAACAAAAGGTCAGTGAATGTTCAATATGTTTTACATATAACTGAATATCTTCATTAAACAAATGTTAATTACAATATGTTGAATATGTCAGGGTCTTTTGCCAGCAATCCAGGATCTTCTACCTGGTGTAGAACAAAGATTTTGTGTTAGGCATTTATATTCAAACTTCAGAAAAAAATTTCCTGGAAAAAACCTTAAACGTCTGATGTGGCGGGCAGCAACAGCAACACACCCACAACAATGGGAGACTGAAATGAGGAATATTAGAGACATAAATCTTGACGCATTTAAATATCTGATTGCCATCCCACCTAGGTATGCATTAAGTCTTCTAGTTATTAACTCTTAACCATATTTCAATATTTGCTTCCTTGCCATGACACATAGTTGACTACTTATATTCACTTATCCCAGGTTTTGGTCAAGATCTAGATTCACCTCTAGATCACAATGTGACACTCTTGTCAACAACATGAGTGAGGCCTTTAATAGTGTGCTAGTCGATAGTAGGTCTAAGCCTATTATTACCATGTTAGAAGACATAAGGGTTTACATAATGAAGAGATGGGCTGCCAACAGGACAAAGATCACATCATATCAAGGTTCAATATGCCCCAAGATTTTTAGCAGATTTCAAAAGGAGTCCTGGTTAACTAGACATTGGTTACCAAGGTAACTTTTATGATGTGTGTTTCCATTCATGTTAACTTTCTTTCCATTTATTGTGATCCATCTAATTGTGTTTTCAATTGTGTATTACATACAGGTGGTCAAGAGAAAAATTATTTGAAGTGAAACATCTTTCAGAATTTGGTCAGCAATTTGTTGTGAATATTGACACCATGGACTGCACATGTAGAAAATGGGCAATTACTGGCATTCCGTGTACTCATGCCATCACTGCAATGAAGTTTTTGAATATAAATGCAGAAGAATACATTGGCAACTGGTTTAGGAAGTCTACTTATGAAGAGACTTACAACACAATAATTAACCCTATCAATGGACAACATGTCTGGGATGTTACACCCTATGCAGATATATTACCACCAAAGAAGAGGACAATGCCAGGAAGGCCCAAGAAGAAACGAAGGCTAGAGGAGTGGGAGTTGAAGAAGAATAACAGTGAATTAAGAAAGGGTGGCCAGAGGAAAACATGTGGCATCTGCAAACAACTTGGACACAACAGAAAAGGCTGTCCACAAAGACCTCCAACAGTAGAGGTTCCTACAGCCCAATCTTCTCAAGTCACCCAACCTCCAGCAACACATGTTCCTATTGGTGACCAATCTTCTCAAGTCACCCAACCTCCAGCAACTATGCCTTTATCTGATGAATGATGTACTGATCAATGATCTAATGTACTGATCCTAAATTTATATTTTGTAGCAAATGTTTGCTCTATCATTTTGAACACAGTCTGTGCAAATGTATTGTTATGATGTATTTTGGATATGTAAGACAATGTTGTTATCATTTTGAACAGCTTCTGTTATCATCTAAGACAATTGAACAGCTTCTGTTATCATCTAATACAATGTTTGTGGTTATCAGAAAGTGATTACTGCCCAATTTTGTTATCACTCATCAACTTTATTTCTCATTACTTTATTGCTCATTGCTTTATCATTATTCCACTTAAAGTAACAATACAATTAAATGAAATTAAATGACACACATTATCACTGTAATAACTCACCAACATTAATAAAACACACATTACATATAAGCCAAGTTTCAAGTCTGATAACATTAATAAAAAACACATTACATATAACCCAAGTTTGAAATCTGATGACAGATGACACAGCATCAACCAACTTTCACCAACATTGCTAATACAATTACATTCAAAACAAATATGACAAAGATCATCCCCACCAACAATTTAAACCACTTATCTAACTTAACTAAACTTTTCTCTATACAACCCAGTCTGATCTTTGGACAATATGTTTCTTCCATTTGCAACACACTGTCTTCCATGCTCATCACACCCACTTCTTCAGTTCTTTCACTATCAGTCCTTTCTTCTACATTCAGCCATTTTCCTTCATTTCCTTCGTCAATGCACCACTTGAAGAAGTTGCAACCAACCAATTCTCCACTCCCACCCTGTTCAACACCAACACACACACCTTCGTCAAAACCCAAATAAATAGACATAGATTTATTGTGATATGAAACTGACCTTGAAGTTAGGGCAACCCCAGAATTTTTTCCCCTTGTTCTTAGGGGTTCTCGCAGTACGAAACACTGCACTGTGACCACAGAGGCATCTTGGGTTTCCATCGAAGCTCCTAACACTGCCACTACTGCGTTGCATGGCCGAACCCAAACATTGGCAAGAGGAAGATGAACGAGACATCCTTACCACCTCCTCAACAGTGCTTGCCCAAGACGTAAGACACCAGCTCTGGTTCACCAACACGAAACACGATCCTCTCCAACAGGAGAATATACTTTGGATCAGATGGGATGCCCTTAAATGTTAGGGCTTCGTAGCCTACGTGGATAAAAGAAAAAAACAGTCAATTTTAATGCACAATGCCACGTCCGTAAATTGAAAAATCCAGCTCACACCATTTTAACGCCGTTTCACAACACTTAACGGTTATGGCAAAATGTGATCACTTTTACAAAAAATATGACCCAATTGAGACAGAAAAAAACTTGAGGACCCAACTGAGATTTTCATACAAACTTGAGGACCAACGAAGGGTTTAAACCTAAACGATATTACATTTTTCATTCATACAACGCACGAGATTAATATTTAAATCGATTTAGTCCAATTGATCGAACTGTATTTTAGTTAACTGAGCTATGTTTCAATCCGTGTCTTTTTTCTTTTAGTTTGAAATTTATATATAGTTTCAGCTATTTTTTCAAATACACAAAAATATATACATTAAAACAAATTCTTTTTAAAAAAGAAAAAAAAACACTACAGTTCAACCAAACGTCTAACTTCGACTAAAGTTTATATACATAAGAAAATCATCAACTTATCTAGACTAGATGTATGTTACATAGTTTAAACTTATTCACTCATTAATTATTGTATTTATGAACTTTTATATTTTGTTTACTTAACTTGAATTGTTGTTAACTTGAAATATAAATAAAATCTAATAAAATAAAGAAAATATTAAAATTGATTTATATTTTAAGAAAATATAATGGTATTGAGCGATTAACTCGTAAATTGAACATGTTAACCTAACATATTACAGAACGAGTCATAATAACTCACACTTAAAAGGATTCTTATTTTACAGTGGTGCCACTTAAATATTTTTTTATTGTGTAATTGGGAAAAATAATTTTCTTTAAATAACATTTTTCGGTGTTTGGATAAGATATTTTAGAACCAAAAGAAATATACTGTAATTCCCATCGTAAAACTTGAACAGCGGAGAGAAGAAGGAAGCTGGCACTGAAAAGCGGACAGAGCCTTCACCGCCACCAATCACTCACAATCAGAGCCGTTCATCGTTAATTTCCGCTTCCGTTTCTCCCTACCCAAATGCCACAATGGCAACGGCGCCGTTAACTCTCCATCTCTGTCGCTTTAGCCGAAACTTATGCACAAAGCTCTTTCTCACTCCCTCTCCCGATCTTCCCAACCCTCGCCGCGTCACTTTCCGCCGCAAGTTCCGCCGCCAAATATCCTTCTCCTCCTCTTTCTCCCGGCGCTTCTGCGCCAGTTCTACCTCCCGAGGCACGCGAATTTCGTGTTTCACGACTGTTTGGTTTGGGAGTGTGTTGGAAACTGAAATTATTTGCTTGTTTGGATTTTGCAGTGGTGGATTGTGAGTCGGGAGTGGTGGATGAGAAATATGATGTGATTGTCGTTGGAGGAGGGCACGCTGGTTGCGAAGCCGCTCTTGCCTCTGCACGTTTGGGGGCGAGGACTCTTCTTCTTACTCTCAACATTGACCGAATTGCCTGGCAGGCTAGCATTTTACGCTTCTTCAATTATTGTTGTTCATGTTATTACTGTTAATGTTAGCAAATCTGTTCATGTTCTTTATAGACTCAGGCTAAAGTTTTTTATATGCTTTAATAATTAGTAATTATTCTAGATACGATTTTTTAAGTAATATTTATTGTTATTGTTATATACAAAAGACATCCCTGGAGGCTCATATGATACGATTGAGATGGTTAAAATAGAGAAAGACGTTGGGGTTTATCTGTGGTCACAATGGCTAACTTGGTCACAATGGCTAACTTGGTCATCTGTTAAGTGAACGGTAAAAATTAGGGTAAAAATATAAGGTATAGTGAGTTGTCCCATGGGCTTGACTCTCTGTAGCAACTTTGCGGCATGTGTTGTCTTCTGCTGCATAGATTTTGTAACTTGAAAATGCAGCGTCCTTGTACGCAAGATGTAGAGTGGACTGCCATGTGTTTTATTTTTTATTTTTGGTGCTTGAAAGAAAATTACGAGTTTGTCATTTCTCCTGCATTTGCCGGCTTGCTGCGAATACGCCCCTTCCCTACCTTTGATTTGGTTGAGCGCATTCTGATTTTGTTAATGCATGGCTCAGTCCCTAAATATTTAGATTTTCTGATTGGGACGGGTTTGGTGCAGCCTTGCAATCCAGCTGTTGGTGGACCTGCAAAGTCTCAACTTGTTCATGAAGTGGATGCGCTAGGTGGTGAAATAGGGAAGATTGCTGATAGGTATTTTGGGGGAATCATATGCCGTCACTTATAGTTTTTTGCAACTCAATTCCCTAGATTATATGGATATAATTTTAACTGATTATTCAAAATTCTTCTTCTTTTCAATCAAGGTATTGTTAAAGTTTGTTTTTCTATTGTTGGTTATAATTTGAATATAAGAGTTGATAGGAAAATATTTAAAGTTAAGGGGAAAGTGGAAATAATGAGTCCTCTGAACTGTTGCAAGATGTTCTTATGTTTATGTATTCAAAATTACCCGAAGAGAGGATGAAATAAGAGCCTTGAGGTTCTTAATTGCTTTATTGGAACTAAATAATGTGTGTGCATATAGGAGAAGTGAGTTATTGAGTTTCAATTTGATGTGATCTTCTATTGTGGCGATGTACTCATGTTCTTAAAGAAAGTCGGTCACTTTTGAAGCATTAATTTATTTCGTTATAGTTATCTAGTTTTGCCCAAGAATTCACAACTCACTATATAAAATTTAATAAATGATATTACTTTTTAATAAATTCCACTACCATATGATGCACCTTTTAATATCACTATAATATATATTTACTTTTGTTGCACGCTTTCTTCTTGAGATTCTTGAGTAATGTGTTTATAAAGAACTACATTAGGGATATAAATGAAGAGCAGTTTTTTTAGGTTTTTGTGGCTTAAATATACATTTCTACTTGTGTTCAGATGTTACTTACAAAAGCGTGTACTCAATGTCTCAAGAGGTCCTGCAGTTCGTGCATTACGAGCTCAGACTGATAAAAGGGAGTATGCCTGGCAAATGAAAAATGTAGTAGAAAGGCAAGTTCGTAGGCATATCATTTTTCCTTTTCTTTTGTTATTTGTATGATCTATTTTGCTATACTTAGCTTTTTCTAGCAATCAATCACATTTGCATGCAACAACCAAATGATTCTTTTGCAGTAATATTTTTTCTTGTATGATTAGGGTTACTAATTCTCATAACTTAATGCCACAGTAATAGTTATGGGAAATATTTAGATTTGTTCTATATAGTGAACTTGGCCTAGTTAACAATCAACAAAGTAGAGTTATGACATACGTATGGGTGGTAGGCTAAAACAAATAATTGGGATGAAATAATTTTTTAAAACCCTAGTTGTAAAAAGGACTGCGGGCATTGCCCTCAGCCCTTTGATTAGTTCTGCTTGTGTAGTCATTTTTTCTTAGATGATATTTCCCTTGTCATATAGATGACCAATCTAGTACTGCTGCTACAAGCCCTAGCTCCTAAAAAAGGACTAATAATCTGTAATAGTCCTAATGTCTTAACATGCAAGATACATCACCTTCTAATATGGAAGTTTAATATCTAGCTAGACTGGTGGAAGAGGTAGCAATTTGGGTCCTTGGTGCGTGTTTGTCTTATTTCACATACTTAATAAATAAGAGGCACACCTTCATTGATCAAATCTTTTATTGGATTAAGGTTTAACCCAAAGGAGAGTGAGAATTTGTAATACAGGACTTCTAGTTGTACCAAAAAGCAAGTTACAATCACACTTTTGTCTTAAATTAAGCACTCTTTAAATTTTAGTTACTGACACTCTACGGGTATGTATTTTAAACGTATCTAAGCATATTTGTGTCAAATATGTCTTGACATCCATACGTTGGCCCGATGAACTTATCGGTGCATCACAGTTCTTCACATGTTATATGCCTATGTCTAGTTTGTTACTTCCCATAAAGT